ATTAATCAGAGTCCTGTTAGTCATAGGATAATTTGAGAAGGGCTTAATAAAAAGACCTTTATAAAGATGGGGTACCGGAGAATCCCAGTATGGATAGGTCTAATAACTATGAATTTATCATCCATACAACTGAAAGGAAGAGGGGAGGGAGCAGTTATTGGGACCCAGAAGGAAAAAGGAAAGGAAAGGAAAAAGAAGAAAAAAGTCATGTACTAAAGGCATTATTGAGAGGCTTTTTGTAATTCTTACTTCAGTCCTGGGCAGGATTTTCTAACTCTGTATTGGTTGCTTCACACAGCCTGCAAAGAGATTCAATTTGTTCCTGAGGCGGCGTCTGATGGTAAACCCAGTACTGAATAATGCTGCTTGTGCCCTGGATGGCTGCTATGATAGCTTGGGTGGTTTTTCTTCCAATGGATACTATTGATTTGGGGGGACTTTGTCATTAATTCCTAGTCTCCAGACAGTTGAGGTTTAAAATTGGTGATTTTTAATATTTTTTGGATGTAATGAAATCAATGGACCCTTTTCCTAAAATGTATATACCCCCTCACATACCCAATTTACATAATTACAGAGGTTTATGAACTTCCGTCAGGAATACAGATTTATGAACTACATTATTCAAAGAGAAGCCACTGAAATGTTTGCTTCATTATAAACAGGCATTTCTAAGAAGAAATCAAATATAAACTCAAATGCACACACACATGACAAAAATATGATCTTTATGTCATATTTTTAGCAAAACAAAAGCATGATGTGTTTTAATGGAATTCAGTTATATGTAACAGATTATCAGTATTTTTTTGTTCCAGTTAGTGTTCAATAGTTAATTTGTGTTAACAGTCCTAAAACATGTACTTCATGGTGACTTACAAGGCTACCAGTGATTTTTCTGTGTGTGTGTGTGTGTGTGTGTGTGTGTGTGTGTGTGTTTTAATTTATAGATTATCATCAGGACATGACATAATGATAGAAGTTTGGGTTTTCCTAGGTAGCCTTTGGCTTTCAGGAGAAGGAGAGTATATTTACCCATTTTGATTGTGCACTCTGGAAATAATTGGAGTTGCAATCCTCTTAGCTACTTTGTTTATTCCTTAATTTTCAAACACCCTGAGTT